TCGAAGATGGTAGTCCTGAGTGCATGTTCCTGGGCTGCTCAACCACTGCGATGGGATGGCCACAACCAGCTGCTAAAACTTGAAGAGCCTGATAGATTTAAGCCTCATGTTCTCTGGAAGAAGTGTGGCTGTAAAGACTTGGTGGAAAGATTATTAATTTTTTACGCAATTTCTTGATCTGTTTTAGAAACCTACTATTTTTACAAAATTTTTTTACAGGAATCCAGAGTGGTTGCTCTATAAAATAGTTTGTCCTGTAAGAAGGTTATATTTAGGCGAATCATAAATAGCGTTTGTGCCTTTTGACTGATATCTACTACTAAAACATATTCAAGGACTAATCATTAAGAAAGAAAGAAATGTACTTGAACAAAGATGCAAATAACTACAAATTATCATGTCTATCACAAAATTGGAACTACGATGTGGTCAAGAATACAAAACGTCTCTCAATACATGAAAAGTGAAGAATATTGTAAATATTTTGTTAAATGACAGACTGAGCAATGGTGAAACCTAAGTTTCTATATTTATGCCATACAAAAGAATGTTAGATGGCTGTTATAGTATGGTTAAGAGGTTGTACGGATGGCGCATGCAAGAGGTGTATGTTTGGTGTGTGCATGTGTTTGAGCACGGGTCTCTCTTCGTGGTGAAGTTGTCAAACAAGTAAAATTACTTTGAAAAAATACGACGTGTTAATAGTCCCAAGAAAATTACAATTCCTTTTGGTAGAACATAATCGACAAAGATATTGGGCTAAACCCTCTAAACGCTACTCAACTTAAGGATAGATAGGTTTCGGGTGTTGTAGGGGTGGGTGGACATGAGTGACTGTCCAGGACAGAGTTGCAGCTTGATCAGCAGAACAAGTGAGTTGCATAGAAATTCTATAGTGAAAACAAATACATTTGTGCCAACACCTTATGGTAAAATCAAAATACAAACAAGGAAAAAAAAATAACACCGACCACCTTCAAGGTTCCTAAAGAAAAAAAAAAAATGAAATAAGTGGGAAACTAACATCGCAAAGGAAACCTCTGTATTGGAAGGAAAAAAGGGGCACAGAAGACAAGCCTCAGTGTCAATAAGACAAAAGAAAGTAAAGGATGATAATAGTGTGGTTAAGAGGATACACTTACCAGGTAGCATCTATTTGAAGAGGAAATGTTAGATTGTAATACATATCAAGCAAAAGTAAATGAATAGCATAGGAACACCGAGGATCAGACAGCAGAAAGCAAAAATAACAAATCCAGAAAAGAGCATTATGTTGGTTGGAAAGTTGAAAAGGCTTGGACAATCTGAAATATATTTTGGTTTGGATCTGGGAAGAAAATCTATTTCTCTAACAGATTACACTTTCATCATAAAATGACCCTGTGAGGATCTCATATATTAGCTAATGAAATACACCAGCTGCGTGTCAGGTTAAGAAGGCACGCAAAACAACCATGTATGCGGAGCGCAGCACAACGGTTGAAGAGCCAAGATGGAATGTGTTGAAGCATGCTGAAACCTCACGGAGAGAGAAGAAAACAAGAGCAATAGAAAAGAAAATCTGAAGAAGTTAGATACTCTATTGTCTGTTTTGTGCTGCTACAAAGGAATGCCTGAGGCTGGGTAACTTACAAAGGAAAGGGGTTATTTGGCTCGGGTTTGCAACCTGTTCAAGAAGCATCGTGATAGCACCTGCTTCTGGGAGGGCTTTCAGGGAGCTTTCTAATCAAGGCAGATGGCAAGGGGAGCAGGCATGCCACAGAGTAAGAGAAGGGCAAGAGAGGGAAGAGGAAGTGGTGCCAGGCCCTGTAAACAACCGTCTCTGCGAACTAATAACAGCAAGAACTCAGAAACTCACTCGCTGGAAACTCAGACTTGTGGGAAGAAGGGCATTTTTTGAACCTTAAATTTGTACCCCATAAATATGCCAAAATAAAAAATAAAAAATAATAAAAAAACAACTCACTCATTATACAGGATGGCACATTCATAGGAGGTATCCACCCTGGTGACCCCAACCT